GCCAGCCGGTCGGCCCGGCCCGGCCCGAGTAGATCCTCGTTTTATACCCCCATCGGGGCCCCCTTGCGCCGGTATGGAGGGAGGGGCGAGCAGGGTTCAGCCTGCCTTGCTGAAATAACCCTGCCTCTCTCTCTCTCTCTCTCTCTCTCTCTCTCTCTCTCTCTCTCTCTCTCTCTTCTTCTCTCTTTCTCACTCGCTCGCTTGCCCTTGCTCTATGCAGGCACGCAAAGCGCCCGAGCGGGTGCAGCGCGGCCTTCCCCCGGCTGACATTTTTCAAAAAGTCGCACGCGTGCTTCGATTTATTTGACAGCCCAACCCAGCCGCGTGACGGACAAGCGTGACGTCGCGTGACGCGCGGCGGTGACTCGGGGGTCACGTTCAGCGCGAAATGCCACCGCTTCGCCTATGGCTGGGGTGCGTCGTGTCGCGTCGAGGTCGAGTCCCTGGGTGCGGTCCGTTCTCATTACCATCCGACCGTTTTCATTACGACACCTTAACACACTTTTATTTCATGGAATAACTTTTCTTAAATGTCCTTTTCCCATGCATTTTCTAATAATTTTTACGAGAGGAAAACGTTTCTTAAAATACTCAGTCGACAGAAATTTGTTTTCTATTTTCATGTTAGGTTCAGCGGTATTACGATGAACTCGGTTCAGTTGATTAAAATTCAGTAAAGAACAAAGTTCTCGTCAAAAATCTGTTCAATATTCGGCAAAAGATCGATCACAACTAATCTAAGAACTCATCTTGCCACCCGCAGACTCCGTGGGTGGCGGTGGTGGTGAGGCGATAGGAGACCCATGCTCCCACATCGGCCAGGCCCGCAGGCGGCGGTGTCCGGTCGGCGAGTCATATAGCTTCTTGCACCATCCTTGTAAAATGAGAATGGCAAATTAAGACTTTCCTTTCGCCCGAGGCTCCCGGTGCCGCGCTGGGCGGGTGTGCGGTGTGGGGCGCGGTGTGGGACGCAGGGGCCCGCCGCCTGGGCCATATCCCGTGCTGGCTAAAACAATGCAAGGATGTGGTGCCCTTGTGGAGGTCGCCAGGGCGCGAGCCTCTGTGTGTGTCTGTGTGTGTATGTGTGTATGTGTGTATGTGTGTGTGTGTGGACTGGGAAAGAATCCTAGCGGTTTCCGTGTAGCTCCACTATTGTTATGATGCCTACACAGTGTGTACACAGTGACGATGACGCGACAGGCACAGGCGGCGTGAATCAGCCACCGGAATGTGGTGAGGGCGAGAGGGAGCGGAGAGAGAGAGGGAGAGGGAGAGAGAGAGGGAGAGAGAGAGGGAGAGAGGGAGAGAGAGAGAGAGAGAGAG